TATTATAATAGATAGTGGCACTATCAGAGAGATCTGGCAACGGCAGAGGCAAGTCTAATTGGTCATTAGAAAATGTTTTCCAGCTATCCAGTGATGAAACAAATCCTCGCAACATATTTGGTTTTGTTTCCCATTTTATGGATGGAATTGTCTCCTAGCCCTGCTTCCCTGACCCCACTGGCTCTCGCAGCAGGCAAGAAATATGCTTCTTCACATTCTCTCCCTTAATGAGGTGCACTTTTGAGGCTGCCTTTCTTTCTGGCCTTTTGCGAGATAGCCGTACTGCAGACAGACAATGAAAACTCCCCAGCTTTTAAGCTCTCACTGCGAGCTTTATCGCTTCTCCGTGGCGGCCCTGTGCAAGCTGAGGGAGAAACACGAGGTCAACATCAATTCCTCAGAGGCAAGGCTTTGCATGGCAGCACACACAATGTCTCCCTGTTGGTTCAGAAGCTGGAGAAAGAAAGAGAACTAGAATGCAATTTAGGCAGGGAAGAGAATGTGGTGGTTTTTTCCCTGGACTAAGAGCAATAACAGAGGCCAATCAAGTGAAGAATTTGGGTGGGTCATCGTTAATGCCTGACTAACGGCTAAGCATGGCTGTGTGTGGCATTGGGAGTGCGGCATGAGTGAAGGCCAGAGCTTGGTGGTAGAGTACATGCTTTGCATCCGGGAGGTCCCAGGTTCATTCAGTCAGCCCAGATGATGAACCATGCACTCACTTGGTATAAGACAGCTTCCTATGCTCCATTTTCAAGGAAACCTGAGTCTGACCCAGCAGAAACACCATTTTCTGAGGATCCTCAAGGTCTGAGATGAGCCAATCTCTGTGATTGGCTGGCTGCACGAGACCTCTGGAATGCTCTTGTTTATCATTCCATACAGGAGATTCCATTCTGCTTTCTGCAACTCCAGCTTCTCGCTCCAGCCCTCCAAATGTAGACATGGGTGTGGCTGCCCAAGGCTCTGATCTACTAGATTACATCTGTAATCTTTAACTTTTTCAGACTGGGGACTCACCTTTATTGCTCTCTCTCCCTTCTCACTCCTTTGCCATAGCCATTGCCTTCCCTTTTGCTCACCTACACTGCCCTGACTTCATGCAGTGATTGTGATGTGGCACTACATCTTCCAATGGGGGCTGCATGATGACACTCTTGCATTTTTACTATATAGAAAGAAAGATACTGTTATGACTTTCTCCCCCTGCCCAAACTTGTTTCTCCTCCTCTCTCGCCATTGCTTTTCTCTCTCTTTTCTCCTCTGTTAGACAACACAAAACAAAAAGTCCCGGTGACGTCAGGGGTGCTACCCACCCTAGATGTCTTAACCTATCAATTGAAGATCAGTAACACACTCTCTGGAAAATATATCTCACAATGCACTTTGGAAAATACTTCCTAGCTAGCTGTGAATAAAATCTCTTTTATCTTCTTGTCTGTTTCAGCAGAGCTTCAAGACAGAGACGTGTTTCTTCCCCTGTAGGGAACACTTCCACTTTGGAACACTTTTGGCTTCCAGTGAAGACCCTGGAAAGAGTTGCTGATTCAGATCACATCTCACAATTAAGGCTCTTGGTAGCAGAATTGAATAGATCCCTAAGGGTTGTGTAAATTTCCATAGAAATTGAGGGGTGGGTTCCAATCAAACACAGAAATGCTACCGAGGGAATCCATTAGGAAAACATTTGAAAACTACAGTTATAATGTCCCTCTCACATAGAAAGCAAGGCTCTTGCATACTGATGGAGGTGGTTCCCCATTCCAGGAGAATGAGGCTGTCCCTGAACTGGACGTGGTAACTGTTGGGCAAGGCGCAGTTAACACTGTGCAGCTGTTTAAGACCGGAAGCCCATATGATGTGATGCTGGGACCTTCCAGTTTGCAAGAATTGCCTCCTTCGGTGCCACAACAACGCCTGCATTTGATAGTACAACTGATTCCACAGATGTCAACAGCGAAGCCAAATCTATGGCGTCAGTTCTTTCTGGAAGAGCACCAAGTGAAATAATGACTAACCTAACATTGCAAGATAAAATAGGCAAAGATCAGGTTATTCATTGCCTCCCCTGGTGGGCTTTTTGTGTGTGTGCTTCTCCTACTGTTGGCATAGTTTTAGGAACTTGGGACGTACATTAAGTGCGTTCATACATTCTAGGACCGGCTTCCCAAGTTTGTGATTTATAGAAACTGCTTTCCCCATGTTGTGTGTCCCAATAAAGTGCAAACGGGTGTGTGAGATCTTTCTCTCATCCATGAGGTAATTTTGAGATCAAAATGCCATTGCAATAAAACTAGGGTGTCATTCAACCTTTAAAAGGGTGGGTTTGCATGGTCTGTGTTAAATGTGGTGTCTCTTATCATCATGCTATGGTGATCAGTTATGGCAGGACTGGGCAACATACAGCTTGGGGTGCTACATGTAGCCCTCAGCCGAATTTATAGAGGTGGGCCCAGAAGAGGAGGAGGAGGAGGAGGAGGAGGAGGAGGAGGAGGAGGAGGAGGAGGAAGGAGGGTGAAAGCAGGACAGGGAACCTGAAGTGGAAGGTGTGCTGGAAGGAAGCAGGAGGGAATCCTGTACAAGTGACTAAGTCAGACCTCTGGCAAGAGTGATCTGTCCCTCCTTGGTATTTGGTTAGCATCACCAAAGTGACTTCCCTGGCGCATGAACCTGCATAGTGTGTATGGAGGTCCTGCCCAGACAACAAGACCCCCCTCTCAGCCTCACTGATGTGGTCCAAAGGAAAGCAGAGCAATATGTTTGGTACCAGCTTGGCTGCAGGAGTTGCCAGAAGGAGGTGTACAAGACGCCATCCAACTTTCTTAGGGACTCCACTCTAGATTTGTGTAGGGCTTGCGCCTTTGCCCTTTCTTCTCATGAAGATGCCTTGCAAGGCAGCAGGTACAGGTTTTTGCGGTTTACAGTGGTACCTCTGGTTACACACTTAATTCGTTCCGGAGGTCCGTTCTTAACCTGAAACTGTTCTTAACCTGAAGACCACTTTAGCTAATGGGGCCTCCTGCTGCTGCCGCGCCGCCACCACGCGATTTCTGTTCTCATCCTGAGGCAAAGTTCTTAACCCGAGGTACTATTTCTGGGTTAGCGGAGTCTGTAACCTGAAGCGTCTGTAACCTGAAGCATATGTAACCCGGGGTACCACTGTACTCCCAAAGCCTTTCTCATGAATAAGTATAGCTGCAGGGCAGCAGAGGTTTGGACCAGAGTTTTCCTTCTCCTAGATGGGCCACCTTTCCAGGTTGATCAGCCCCATCTGCCCCAGATTTCAAGTAGGTATAGCTTTTCTCTTCCCCTATAAGACAAGCTGCACCATCCAAAATGCAAATGTTCAAGGGACTGCAGCTTTGCTTCTGGTCACCTAGATGTAAATCAGTTCCTTCTGTCTGGGAACTGAGACAAACTTTCCAGGATTCACAACCGCTGCCAATTCTGTTGTTTCTTCTTAAGCCTTTTCTTTCCACAAGCAGACCTCAGAGACGTATTATTTCCCAGAAGAGCACAGAAGGCAAAGAAGCCTTTATTCGGTTTCACAATATTTCTTTCTGCGTTGGAGACTACGAGCCTCTTTAAGGGCGAGGGAGGGGGCAAGCATATGAATTGCAGGGCTGGGGAGGGGAGCTGTCTGAAAAGTCGCAACCCGTTTCAAGTCAGCCGAGACTCACGCAGGTCAGGATCAATTGCTGGAAAGGTGCTTGACAATTTAGATACCCCTTGTCTGAGGGAATGCGGTGGGGGTCTCATCCTAACACTGGATGCTCCCAATTTACAAATGCAGTTTTGTTTGTTTTCTTTTGCTGGGGTGGAGACAGGGGAGGGATGGTGCAAGGGTCTGGTGCAGGAGTGGGTAACCTATGGTCCCCCATAAGTTATGGAACTCCAACTTCCATCAGCTCCATACAGCACAGCCAAAAACCCCTTTGTCCTCTGCCTTTCTTATCTCGCTCTCCAGCTTTACCTGTCTCCTGCTTCCCTGTCAGGGGCTGGGCTGAGGAGGAATGTTGGGAGCTACCCCCCCTTTCTGCTGAACATTCCTAAGGGCAGGAAGACAGTGTTGATTTAGAACAGTGATTTCTAGAGGGGCATGGCCCAGAGGACAAAAGCTGGGAAATACTGGGTGAGGAACAACTAGAAGAGGAAACACCAGGAGAAAAATAACTGGCAGATTCAGTGTCCTTGGACTGCATTCCTGACCCCCGCTTCGCCTAAGACTAGATATGATAGAGAGAACAGCAGCAACAAGCTCAGATTACCCAACGTAGGAGTAGAGATGGGAAGGCTGGGGGGGGGATGGGAAAAACCAGGTTTCCCCCTGCTTTCCCCCTTTCCTCCCAAAGCCGTTTTTTCCTGGAAAAATGGGGGGGGGGAACAGTTTGATATAGTTTGAATATTCCACACACTCCCCCCCAATTTTTCCAGGAAAAACGAAAAAAGGGGGAAAAACCTGCCCCCCAATTTTTCCGCCACCCCCAGTCCTTCCCATCTCTACGTAGGAGTGATGTAGATTAATGGGGTCGGAGGGGGTGAACCTTTACTGGGAGCAACGCCATTTCTAGAGAGATATGCATTCCTTTGACTCTTGCTGTGATTATTAAAGAAACTAACTGGTAAGAACGCTCCTTTCGTTTGATCTGCTTATTGCCACCGGGGGAGGGATCCGATTCCCTGAAGCCTGACATTCCTTTGCCTTCCTTATGCTTAGATACTAGAGGCCTTGACTTATGACCAGGCTATCACTAATTTGGTTGTCTCACTCAGGGCCAAGGGAACTGGCCACCAGGGGAAGCCAGCAGCTTGCCACTTCCACAACAGGGCTGCTTCTTTTCCTGTGGCTCTCCTTTCCATGCTGCCCATTGCTTCTATCCATTGCCCTACTGTGGATCCTGCTCTTGCACCAAAGAGGCTCAGACAAAGCGGAGAGGTCCTCTAATCCCCACCCACCCACTCTAGGCCTTTGGACAGCCTTTTTGTCTGGTAGCTACTGGCTATGCAACACAGCTCTGCTCCGTGGATGTAGACCGATCAGCCAGCAAAGGAGAATCAAGGCGAAGTTTTGCTGTTAGCTTGCAAGAAGGCGCCCAGGGTAAGGTGGAGTCCCTCTTCACTTCTTCGGGTTGGGGGAAATTTCTGCTGCTTTGAAGACTTGCATATATCTGCAAATAAACAGACATTATAAAAACAGCATTAATTGCCACTATGCTTGTGAAAAGGCTGCCTCTATAGCCTAGGAGCATGAAACAGCCCTTTCAGCCATTCAAAACAACCTCCAGCAGTTTACCCTGCTGAACCCAGGCTTCAGACTGACACATCGGGGGTCACTTTTAAACAAATTAAGTTGTTTCTGGCAATACTGGAAACAACCCAGCTCAGCTGCAGCCAGGAGGAAAAAAAACAGGATGACGAGTCTAGGGAGCTGCCATGGAGATATATATATATATATATATATATATATATATATATATATATCCAAATGGCTGAAAGTACCCTTAGAAATTTCCACTTGAGATGCTTAAGACATGCTGAAAAGCAGCCATCTTAGAGACTTAATGCTTATTAAAACCAGAAAGCATGTAAAACAATGATATTACCCCTTAACTAACGCTTTATCTTGCATGAAGAAAAATACCATCATTGCAGCCTTGATTAAACAGTATTATGAAGCTGGTAGTGATTGTATTTAACTGTTTTGTGCTCCAGGAGTTGCCCTTTTTAAAGAAGGAAATTCTCACTTGCATTAATCAACCTATACTAGTATTTTCACGGTGCTAGAGCTGATGAAGTAAAAAGGTTAAAAAAAAGTATCACAGAGTGAAAACCTACAGGAGCCATCTTTTTTAAAAAAATGTAAAATAAGATTTCTGTTCTCCAAGCTTCCAAATGCTAAGGCAAAATGCAAAACATAATTTGCTTTGCTTACAAGCACACTCTCTGTGCTTGTAAGCAAAGCAAATTATGCCTAATGACTTAAAAGGAATAGTGTTCTATATACACAACAGTTTTTGGGTTGCAAATTACCCTATAAGTGCTTTGTTTCTGAATCAAATTAATTGGAGAACAAGTTGGTGCACCAATTGTTCACTTTGGGGGTGCTCTTATTTCTCAGGACAGTAGAATGACAGGTGAAACAGTCCCCCAAGAAGTAGCTAACTCCCACCTCTGCCCCCATTGCTTAACACCTGGGGGTAGTTGTAGAAATTACATTCATAGTGTGCTTCTCTTTCTTATTATCAATCAAAATACTGTTACAAGCCTCCTCAAACTCTAAGTGGTGCAAGATCCCAGGAGTTCCAGGCACTTATCCAGGGTTCATGTTTCCTTTGGAAATGAGGCACAGTGGAAACTGTAGTGCCTTTATGGTATATGGTTTATTCACACACACATATATAACCTGAGCCTCCATTTTCTGGCACCTGGTGTCTTTTCAGGTTGTTGGTGACACCAATGACTTACATTGCCAAGTATGCACAAATGGGTAAGTAAAATCAACAGCTAGTAATTTTGTGGATTTATTTGCAAGGCTACTTCACAGGGACCTTTCCTTCTCGAATGTAATATATGAATCAGCTCTTCTTTCCTATTTTCTTCATTCATATGACCAATGCTCCCCCCCCCAAAAAAAATGTTTAGGGGTACTCTCATTTTGACTCAAGAAAACCACCATTTTATAGTTCTAATTGGGGGAAATGAATACAGTAAATGGACAAAAGTACAAAGTTTCACAAAATGTTTAGGGATATGCATACCCATGCGTACCCCCAGGGGGGAAAAACACATTCCCCCAGTCTTGTCCATCTTCTCTGCCTGTATTTTCCTAACTTTTGTGCCCCAGGTAGCTTCATTTTCCTTCTTTCTACTTCTTCCCATCAGTTGTCCTCTTTGAACTGGACCTGACATCTTCATCAACAGCTCCAACCTGTCTACTCTTTCCTTGGGCTTTTTGCTGGTTCAGTTCCCATATCCACACCCTAAACAATACAACCATACTTGGGAGGGGAGCACATGGCTAGAATTCTGCAACACCAACAAGTCAAGAAGTCAACAGGGTTTCTCTCATGGACTGAAGCTCCAATAATGCAGAAAGCAAGAAGCTTAAAGAGCTGAGATTCTCAGGTTTCAGGCAGAAGTCGTTCAGGTAAAACTACCCAAGGCAACCACTAGACTGGATCGTTCGCACGTTTGGCTTGGGTCCCACCAACCTCATCTTCAAGGTTCTCACCTTAATGTTCAGTTCATGATGAAACAGAAACAGAAATTAAGGGTCAGAGTCAGTTCAGTATATTTTATGATGCTGGCAACGCACAAAGACATTTGGCACACAGAACACCTGCTAGCTGGTCTAGAGACACTTATAAAAAGCACATTTTGATATCCTGCCAAAATTCGACTCCACTGACCTTCTAGCGATGTAATAATAACAATAACACTAAAATGTCTGGGTAAATGGAAGTGAAGCGAAGCAACCATGAGTTCAGCTACAGCTGAAGGCTGGACTGGTGGATATCCTCAAGATCTGGATTCTCTGACTGCTAGCTCACATGACTGATGGCAACAGAGAGAATTGTCTATGTCTGGCTCCCGCTGACAAAGCACTACACTCCCAGAAAGCTACAAGAATACAAACCTGGCACACTGCTGAAGGTGCCTCTGGAGTCCTTCCTGTGGCTGCTTCCATGAAAGCCGCTTTTCAGTTCAGCTTCAGCTTGTCTGTTGAACCATGCAAGGAGCGCAAGACTCAGCCAAATGCATTACTGAAAAATGAATCACTTTGCTGAATATTCAGTGTTTCATTGCTGTTCAGTGTCCTCTCTCTCTCTCTTTCCCACCCCACAGGCTGCTGCCTTCTTTGTCTTTGACCTTACAGCCCCTTTGGTCTCAATGACATCACAGTGGTATACCTGTGATGGCGCCATGGACACTCATAAACATCATCACATGGGTCACCACAGCCAATCAGACTGTCCTTGGTGCCGTCACAAGTATGCCACTGTGAAGTCATTGAGAGACATCATACGCGTCACCTAGTTGCGCCCTGAGGCCCTCAAGCCCTTCCCCTGAAAATAACTTCACACTGACACGTAATTTTAGTTTAAGTTATTGGGCAAAATTTAGGCCACAACTTTATTGATTACAGCAAAGTGGGTGGTGTTGGCTTAGGCATTGGCAACAGACTATAACTGACTCCTGCCTCTCTGTCTGGAAGTCTGAAAGGGTAAACACCAAACGAGGGCACAACATCGATGAAGACCAATGAAGCTCACCCCGGGGTTCCTGTGGTCCTGGCATGGCCTTAGCTCCTCAAGCGGACTTCGGACGAGATCCAGGACCCCCAGATTCCTTTACTGGAATACCCTTATTCATGGAGGGGTAGGTGATGGCCGCACCTCCCCTCCCACACACTTCGATAAGCCAATGCCTAACCGCCAAACCTTACAAAGTTGTGACGATTGCTAAAGGGGTAGGCGAAAACCAAGTGGCTACATCCAATTTGCCAAATGGAAAAATTCCTACCCAGCCCCTGCTCCAAAGCAGGCGACCCAATCCAAAGCCAGGCCAAAGCAGCAGCACCTAAAATTAGGGAGGGAGGGCGGGTGTTTGGCAGTGCGATGCAAGTTCCCCCAGTTATGCCGCACAGCCGCTTTTATAGGCCCCAGGAATCGCGCCAACTGACCCAATTGGCCCAAACAGCCTGGCGCGATCCCGGGGCCCAATGGTTAAGGCTTGGGCCATGCCTGGCAACAACCCTCCCAGTGGGGGTGGCTTAGGGGCCCGCGCGCAACCAGGACCCTCATTAAGGAGGATCCCATCTCACAGGATCAAATGACAAGGAAGTCAAATGTGGTGAAGAACAGGGGGGACACTGGAGAAAGAAAATGCCACAAGGAGCAGCAGTGAAACAACAGGGCTGCACTTGTAATGAAAGCACTGAGAATTTTTGAAAAGGGAACATACTTTTTCTCACTAAAAGCAGCAGCGCACATATTAACCCTCATGATTCCCAGTGAGACTTCATCTTGTGCTGTAGCAGAAGAGTGGATGATAGAAACTTCCTTGATGTTTTATTTGTATTTGCACTTACTCCTGAAAAAAGAACATTGTCCTTGTGCTGGGGATGATGGGAATTGCAGTCCAAAACATTTGGAGGCCACCAGGTTAGCAAAGGTTGTTTTAGCCTCTCATCCATACGCGAAAGTGTAAGCATGGGTCTGCCACATATTCCACTTGCAGATGGTCTTAGGAACTACAAGGGCCTAGAATTCAGCCATTGGATCCTCTCCACAGAAGTGGGATGTAAACCCCATTCTCTCAGAACACTTCCATGTGTATTATTCAGAAGTACCTATCAGCAGTTGCTAAGAACATCCCTTTGAGGAATAAAACTTTCTTCAAACTTAAAAACCCTGGTGTAGAAAGGTGCCAGTATTAAACAACTTGTCAGTTGAAAATGAGAGACTGTGTGTGTAAAACGAGCACTTGCATGTTGGCATGACAAGGTCAAAGTGAGCTGCTAATTAATTAATTAATTAATTAATGTATGCATTTAGAGCCCACCTTACCAACAAGCATGTGAGCAGGAGTGCCAACTCCTGGGGGGCCGAGCCTTTCTGCTCCCCACCAATATTTTTTGAGAGGGGGCCAGGCCCTCCAATGTCCAAGAAAATTAGGGAGCGGAGGAGACTAGACTATGTCCTCTGAGTATAATCTACGAAATGCAACGAGTAGCAGGAGTTTGTGCTACTCCTGAACAGCGGAGGTAGTCTTACTCTCCTGCCTCCTCTCTCACCACTGCATTCTTGTCTGTTCCCTTGGCTTAATAGGGAGAGTTTGAACAAAAATCTGTGTTTTCGGCAGGGTCCCTGCACTAGAATGGCAGCATTGCTTGGTCTGGATTTGACCTGAGGCACACACAGCTTTAATCTAAGCCCCTGCAGAATGGATCATCTCCAGCTGCAAGCACAGACACTCGAGCACACATTGTGGTGTACAGGAGAAGAGAAGGAAAATGTATTTCATGGGCGTTCAGAAAATCACATCCTACGCAAGAAACACATAAAGCTTCTGAGGTTAGACGTGAAACCACTCTGTTGCCTCATTCATTTAGATTTATTTCACTGTTGCCTCTTTCTTGTGTGTTCCAGTTTAATACTATAAAACTCGGAACATTATCTCACTGGAAGAATAGCTGTCCTCCAACAAAATATCAGGAAAGAAGTCGTTTTTCAAATGTTTCCCCTTCTGTGAGCAAAAATAGAAAATGGATATGCTTTTTTTAAAGGAAGAAGGGAAGAGAAGAACTTACATTTTCCAGGCAGTTCCACTTGTTGTTTTTATAACATCCTGTGTGAGTAGTAAATTTTATAACAACAGATGTCTGTTATTCCACATTAAATCTGTTTAAGGGAGGAAAACAAGATTGCACATTCTGAGGGCTCAGAGGATAACAAATACTTCAACAAAGTAAGTATTCTCCCTCTTTAAGATCATATAATGGGGAAAACACCAGCAGAAATTCCATGAAGAGCTGTGTTCCTTGTGAAGTCTGAGTCATCTAAAGGATGCTTTTAAACAGTCTGGCTCTGGGGTTCTTTGTTATATGGATAGAGTTGTAAGCATTGGCCATGCCCTTCACAATGCACTGCTGCCTGCAAATCCCAGAACTGCAGCCTTGGAGCCAAATTGGTATTTCTAGAATGATGGAGAGGAAGCAACTAGGCCTAGTCTACACAAGGAACAGGTGAGGTGGTACAGTCCCTGTGACAGTACTCACCGGTATGGACTATTATTGCTTCTTGTTTTGCTGACCATGGCAGCCATTTTGTGCTGGCATCCATGGCATTTTTATCAATATATGAGTATGGGAACCTCATGGGTTTTTTTTTACAAAGCAAAACAAATTAAAAGGACCAGGTACAGCTATTTTTGGAGTGCACCATTTCACAGTGCAGATGAGAGTTGTGAGAGTTGCAGGTTCCACCAATCCTCCATGACAAAAACATAAGCAAATCTTGATATGTAGAAAGCCAGAAAGTCAGGGAGAGGACTGTACCAGAACTGTATTCTCTGTCAGTAACCAATCTCCTACATACACAGACATTTTGATAAAGGAAAGCATAAGAGCAGTTTTCAAGTAGCCCTTAATATAATTTTCAGATGAGAAGAATGGGTTTAGGTTTCAGCAATACCAGTTTAGGCTGAATACCGGCAAATGTTTCTCAAGGGGTCATTTCAACGCAGGTTTGGAGCTGGATGTGCATACAATGTACATCAGATAACCACTGTCCACTCAGGTCAGGTGTTTTAGACCTATTTGCTCCATATCTACCTGCATATATGGAGACTTAGAGAACATAAGTGGCTTCATGACATCACTGTGAGGACAACACAGGAGAAAGGCTACACCGGGGATTCTTTGTAGACTTGGGGTTTAAATTCAAAAGCATTCAGCTATGAAGCAAATCTTGGAGGAGGGGATAAACTGAGGAGTGGCTTGATGTCCTAAGTGGATCAGACGACTTCATGGAGGTCAGTGGGTGCTGGCTCTGATTGAAAAATTCAGCCTCCACATTCAAAGGCGCTCTATCTCTGATTGCTAGTTACTGGGTAGGTAAACATGGCTATCTCATGCTTTGCTTGTGAGCTTCCTAGGAGTACCTGGTTGGTCTGTTCTAGCAGAGGCAGTGCCTAAGTTGTTATGTTCTTAAGAGGGAGAAAATTCAAGGGGAAAGATTTTGAATATTCATATAGTACATCCACTTTACTTCCTAAATGAAGAATCCAAGAAAAGTCTGTGAAATGATAGGGGGATTATATAAAATGGAATGAGCATACTGTTTTTCTGTGATACATTATCATGAAACCTACTGAGAAAAATGTTTCCACCTAGCAAGCAGAACTGCAGACTATAATTGCAAACAGATTCTTCTGAAAGAACAAGGGAACATGGAGGGAACATATGAAAGTACCTGCTCATCACAGCAGGATCACACTTCACCATCTTCCAACCACCATATTCTGGGAATGTCAAATCAATTCATGTCTCTTCTAATACAAACAATGCACATCATCAAGCTGTACTTATCTCGTTCTAGCACTGTAATTAATTATCTTAAAACTATGCTTCCTGTGCCAGGCATCTGCTCCTCAAATAAAATAGGGTGATCAAAGCCTGAGTCATGTTTTTGCAGCACTACAGGCTTTGTAAGCTGGTGCCCACGTGGTGACTTTGAATTGGGCGGTGGGCAGGCATGCTTTAGGGAACATCAGTTCACTCTCTTGAGGCAGGGTCTGCCAACAACGCCATCCATTGCCAGTCCCTTACATCCATCCCTATCCATCTGCACAATGTGGGGCGGGGGGGGGGGGGGAGCAGTGTGGACAGCATCAGAAGTGTTCCCCCATGCCAAAAACTGCAGTGTCATCAAAGAAAAAGAAAACCCTGCTTTTTGAAGGCATCTGATTTGATTATTTCTGGTACTGCTGACTCCAGAAGGGAGGATGCATTTGAAATGATCTTCAACCCTCTTACGCATAGGAGGTCATTACTGATGGATGGGATGTGGGTGGCGCTGTGGTCTAAACCACTGAGCCTCATGGGCTTGCCAGTCAGAAGGTTGGCAGTTCGAATCTCCGAGACAGGGTGAGCTCCCGTTGCTCTGTCTCAGCTCCTGCCAACCTAGCAATTTCAAAGCACACCATTGCAAGTAGATACAGTCATACCTCGGGATAAATATGCTTCAGATTGAGCGCTTTCGGGTTGTGCTCCATGGCGACCCATAAGTAACTGAGCGTGTTACTTCCGGGTTTCGCTGCTCGCGCATGCGCAGACAGTCAAAATGATCCCGTTCGCATCCCGAGGTACCACTGTAAATAGGTACTGCTGCAGCGGGAAGGTAAGCAGCATTTCCGTGTGCTCTGGTTTCCATCACAGTATGCTGTTGCACCAGAAGCAGTTTAGTCATGCTGACCACATTACTGTCTGTGGACAAACGCTGGCTCCCTTGGCCTGTAAAGCAAGATGAGCGTCGCATGCCTTTGACTGGACTTAACCTTTACCATTACTGATGCTGAAAGTATTTTAAAATGTAAACTTTCCCATTTCCTTAAATGAATAATTTCCTGAGGTGTTTCGAACCTAGATCTCCTTTGTGCATGTGTCCATATTTTAGAATTTGAGGTTGCCCCCCTCCCAATTCTTTGAGATTGGTTAGGCCTCACTGAAGGTGGCGGCATGAACTGTTGCATGCCCATGGCATTGGTGCTCTGAATGATTCCAGCATAGCAAAAACATATTTAAGAACAGAGAAGGCAACAGCTAATTTGAAGAAGTACCATCTGTTGAGGAGGTACTAACGGGTCAGCATTTTTTTACACATCTTCAGGAAAGGAAAAAGGGTATAAATCTGAGTGGTCTGTGAAAACCAATAGGAAAGAACACTGAGGATCACTGCATTTCCTAGATACCTTCCACATGCTGTTGTACATCTCTGCTATAAGCTATTACCCCAATACAATTTCAAATAGCCTCCAACGTTTCTCCGATGAAAATAGGGATGCCCTGTTCCATCACCATCACCATCATTCCCCATTCGACTGGGCTGCCCCAGCCACTCTGGGAGGCTTCCAACATATATAAAAACATAATCAAACATTAACCGTTAAAAAACTTCCCTATACAGGGCTCCCTTCAGATGTCTTCTCAAGGTTATATAATTACTTATCTCCTTGGCTTGGGAGTTGCATAACTCCACACCCTCCAAAATTTCTCTGTTGAAAATAGGGACGTCCTAAGGAAACGTTTTTAATAATTTTTATTTAATATTTTAATATTTTAATATTTAATGCTGTATTATTTTTAACACTTGATTGGAAGCCGCCCAGAGTGGCTGGGGAAACTCAGCCAGATGGGCGGGGTATAAATAATAAATTATTATTAAATTATTATTATTATAAGAGGGACATTCCAGGATCAAATCAGAAACACACCTAATTGTGAAACACACCTAATCTGTAAACTATTATTTAAGTGGGATCAATCTGACACTGTTGTCAGATAAGTAACTTGTTTATTGTTTTTGCTGTTTACAGATGTATGAGAATTGAAAATATATTTGCAGAGCGGCTGCTCTTATTACACCCCCCACCAGCTTATTCTGCATTTCCCCCCACTCATCCAGAGGGATCACCAGAGTGGGGCATGATATGAAGGTAGGTGGTATATTTAGCTAACTGTTTCCAGCTAAACCTTTTATTAACACATGGATGTTTTGGCCTTCACAGGCCTTTTAGCACATCTCAGCTGGATCGATGATCCATGCTGCAATTTTTGCTTGTGGTGAAGTAGTATAGCGAGTGCCTCGCCATGACATCAGCTAATAGGCAAATTCCCGTTGAGCTGAGTGCCAAAACCCACTGAAGTCCATGTTGGCACATGAAAAGGACTGTGCGAATTAAGGATCCGTCTTGCTCTGGGTTTGCATCCAGCATGATGCAATGTTCTTCCAGTGCCTGTGAGGTCATGTGCATAGCTTACTAATTTGAAGAGAAGGCAGGATACCCCACAAGCAAACCAGCAATCAAGGAAGGGAAGCCATGAAACTAGATCTAACCACTCCGTTCAAGATAATTATTGGATTTTAACTCTGCTCAGAGAACTCGCAGAGGAATCATATGCCCACTTGACTGGTAAGAGCTCTGCCCCACCTGGGCCTCTAGCATTAACTACAGCCTTGTGGATTGGTTTACAGAGAGAATATAAAGGAATTCGGCTTCACTTTATCCTAGTTGAGGAGCTTCGCTTAAGCTGCACAGCTCTCTTGTTCCCAAGACCTGGGTGCTTTCCTGAGCTATGCCATGTGCCAGTAATAAAAGAACTCCACCATTCTCCAAAGCCTTAAAATTCACCTTTTGGAAGGGTTTACACAGCTCTGCCTAAACTGCAATCAGTGACCAGAACTTGGATTAACAAGTAAATGAAATTCAGAGTGGCTATTGAAAACTAACTGATCATGCATGCGCAGGAACTTGTTCTATATTTTGAGCCAGAAAACAAACTGTTGGTGACATGATGCGCGATTAGTGATACATCCAGACATGACACGTTGAACAAGGTCATAGTTTGAACCGAGCAATTACGCATTTAAGTGATTTCACAGCTTAGAAGTCCTGCATTTGCAGTGGTGATAAGATGCTCTGAAGCATGGACATACTATTTTTATTAATTAAGTGAGAGCAGTAAATAAATGAACATTCTCCATGTTGGGACGAAACAAAGAAGCATCTTCCAGCTTTAAAGTGTTGGGTCTGCTCTGGCTAGAAATCTGAATGCTGTAATGTTATTACTGAGAAGTAAAGAACTTCTCTCAGTCAGGTATATTGCCTATCCAGAAACTTTAATCCACCCCTTTCAAGCATTGCTTGGCCCCAGGCTCCCATCCAAGGATGGAGGAGAATTTCATTTGGTCCACATCTTAAGTAAAGGAAACCCATCCTAATTTGCAGTGCCCAGACTCCTATGATGATTGGAGCACAGTTAACAGGTTGTGCCCTTCTCCAAATTTTGCATGTAAACACATATAAAAAATGCATATGTTGTGGGGAAAATGCATCTCTCTTTTTTTGGAGACGGTGTTTTTTAGTGGGAAATGTATGCAACTCTATTTTCCGGAAAATGCGTACAAAAATGCATAAAATTTAAATGGAATCTTAAAGAAAAACACCCCAATCTTCAGAAAACAGGGCAGAATGGACTCACAACTGAATGCATGCAAAATTAACAGCGAATGAAAGCAGGGGGTCCATCTCTAACCTCAGCAATCAGAAAAGCCTGCACTTCATTTATCCATATCTCTTAAATATGACTCCTAAATCAGTAACTTTGGTGTGAAGGTTCAGAATTTCTTAAAAGAAATCCCACCCTTTCTTCACTTCCTACGAACCACAGTAGAGACGGGCTACCTGTACGTGAACCCGATCTGTCCCAAGGGTACTCATTTATTTGTGTATTAGGCTCATAGAGCTCTGGGTCTCATAGGCTCAGAGCTGATTACAGGAACTTTCTGGATGTGCACATTTCTGTCCCACAAGGGCTCACGGTGTAAGCAATGTAATAATTAGAGGGCTTGGGGGATAAAGAGGCCAGCAGAATTAAAATTACGTTTTATTCACATATCATTTTTAAAAAGTGATTAAGGAGGTTAGGCCCAATCCCCTGATCAGGTGTGCTCTGTGCATTGGGTCTTCTTCAAGTGTGTTTGTTTTGTAAGGGAAGAATATCACCTGTGAGGAATGGGGTGCATTGAGGCTCTTCTGAGTGGGCTGCCACAGTGTGAGATACACTGTCTAGCTATGCAGCGAAGGGCCTTATCTGTGTGGTGGAACTCGCTCTCTTCAGAGCTCCACACGGCGCCAACACTCCGTTCTTTTCCGGCGCCAACTGAAAACGCGTTTGTTTGTTCATGTGGCTTTTGCCGGTTTGGTTTAGTAACTCTAGTCAGCTTTATGTAGATCATTTTAGATTTTGGTGTAAAAAGTTGTGTTGTCATTATTTTATTGCATCATTCATGCATTTCTATGCTGTTTTGTTTTGGGGGCTGCACCCAACCCTGAGATCATTTGATGGAGGACGTGCTGAAAGCGTTTTCAGTAAAACAAATTAATACAAACATAAAACAAACTATTTTTGTTTGTTTTTGCAATTGATATTTTTTTTAAAAAAATAATCCAATGGTTTTTGGTTTTTTTGGTTTTATTGTTGAATCGTTGGGTTATAACTATTCTGTTTTTATGTTAACCCCTTTGAGCCTGACAAAGGCAGGATAAAAATGTTTGAAATGAGTAAAAAACAAGAACAAAGACGGATAAGAAAATTAAACCCACACCCATATTCTTGCAGACAATCCTCCAGAACATCCCCACACTCTTGCTTAGTCTTATAAATGCTGACACACAACCTCACTTGACTTTGTCTCCTCCACTCCCTGCTGCATACCTCATACAACCTTTCAAAATATAGAAACATCCCATCCCTCACCTTTCACAGCCTTCCAAATAAGCTACCCAATGGACTTTGCTTTCTACAGCTAGACAGGGGCCCAATGACTGCCTGTTGAAAATATATGGCAGAGAGGGCTGGCCTCGGTGGGGCCAGGAATGAGTCCTGAATGTGGCAAGGGCAATGCCACTGGAGCTCTGCCCAGATGGACTATGATATTCTCCATCAAATCCCGCTGGGATGCTCCTCTTTTCCATGAGCAGCAGCACTCAGTGGCATCATTTGAAAAGCTCCCAGATGGTTTTCCTTTTCTTGGACAATTAATAAAATTGTAGGTGTTCAGGAATCATTTTTAATCAGCCTTATCCTAGAGATGGTGCCACACCACGAACCCAATCTTTAACACAGAGAGACCCAAACGTACACACACCTCGTTTTCCTTTGAAATGTGTGATCTTCCTCTTCAGAACTGGAGTGTATATACCCTATAGGCGTCTTTAATATATGTGTGTGTGTGAATGTGGTTTCCCATGCAGCAGTGTCCTGACATCGAATGTCATTTGTACAGTTCTAGGGAAACACAAGCACCATAGGGCAGGTTTGGGGAACCTACGGCCCATCAGATGTTGTTGTATCCAGTTTCCTATCATCCCCAGCTAGCATGGCTGGTGGTTGGGAATGATGAGAGTTGTAGTTCAGCGACATTTGGAAGGCCGCAGTTTGCCTATCCCAGCTCTAGGAGACAATGTTCTCCAGCAAAAGGATTCTCTGACTACAGTAGATTAACAGGGATGTACCCTATGCAAAAAGAAATACCTACCTAGAACCATCACACTGCAGTCATCTTTTTTTTAAAAAAAAAGAAGAAGCAGAAGAAGCAGAAAGCCTCTTTATACTATGGCAATAAATCCCAGCCTTTGGAAGATTTAGTCTCCTTCCTGCATTGGCACAATTTTAGATGAAAACATCTAAAAGCTCTCAGACATTTCAGCTGTCCATATCCCCACCTAAGAAATAAATCTCCATGTAGCGATTCCGGGCCAAATTTCCAAGGAATGTGGATTTTAAAAAGAACCAGCCATTTCAGAAGATGTGGTTAAAGTGAAGTACATATCTACAAGGAAATGTCTGGGCGTTTTTATTTGGAAACACAGTGGTTTATAATCTTCCTTTGCACCATCCACAACAGAACTTGTGTGTCTTACAGAAGATTCTGGTGAGCACCCTAAGGTTCCCTCACTGTTCACAACGAGGACCCCAAATAACTGTAAAAAAAAAAGTCTACTGAATTTGCTGCAGCTATGAAGGTTTTTATTTTTCAAGGTTCTTGCCGCATCTAAGGAATAAATGATAAATATTTGGAGAAGAGAGGGTAATATTTCTCCTCCCCCCGAAAAAATATTATTTATTGAAATGCCTTCAGAATAAAAGAGCAATCCATTTAGTTGTTTGGAGGGTTCTAAACTGTACGATGAGGCTTCATGAATGAAGCAGGCTCTCTCCTGCAGACCTTCTCCTCCAAAGAGCGGAAGGCAATGGGACTTGGTGGTGGGGATGTGATGGAGGCGCAGGAGCCAGGAAGGATGTTCCCACTCTTCCCATCACGTGACAGTAATCACGAGAAGGCAAACCACCTGCGTCTGAAATAAGCCATAGATCTTGAGGTACAATGCAAGATTGTCTGCATGATCAACAGCTTTGTCATCATTGGCTATAGACCAGCCATCTCTTAGGAGCAGAGTCCTCTTTTTTTCTTATAGATAACGAGCTTCTGCAGACCCCTAGAGTTCAATAGAAGCCAGTCTGAAAGCCATCACCCTAGCAAAGTAACAATACTGTTTTATTTTGTAGTATTAGCGTTTGCATGACTGATGTACACCTGAGCTAGCTGCACTCCCCCACCAAATCACACATTATTACAAGAGTAGCGTCATATTTTCTAGCGAATGTACACCTGAAGGTAAGCTTGACTCGTTCATTCTGTGAGCAGGGAGATTTATTTGCTCAAATTGTATGGATATTACAAGTGAGTGAATTAAATGTTTTATTGTATCCCCCACATCTCCAAAGATTCAAAATTAGCACATGAGGGAGCAGGTTCTAATATATG